AAAGACTAAATTGAAAACGATTCATAATAGTTAAATATCTATTTTTATAACTCTCTTCTTAAAATATTTGGTAAATAATATAAAAATAGTATTTGTTAAACTTAGTACTGACCAGACACCATAGACCAGTTTTATTTGTTGTCAATGCTTCTTTCATCAGTGTTATTGTAGTCATTCTAGCGGTAAAAATTAAAAACTTTCAAAATTCTCATTTTTTGTTGTTTAAATATGTTTTTGATATGTAGAATGTGTAAAAGCTGTTGTGATTATTTCACTTTTTCTACTATAATGTTAATGATATTTATTTATAAAAATTCGACAATTTCAAGTTTTTAACCATAAAATTTTACCATAAACCTTCATAAAAGCATCAGGAAACACCACTTTCAAAAGTTGAAAAACAAAAATTGTATTGAAAGTTGCAATATATAGACAGAAATTTGCATTGAAAATTGCTTTCAACAAATTGCAATAAAAGATTTTGCGTTTTATTTTTATTCAAATTGAAAATTGAAAATTCGCCCGCAACTTGAGAGTAAAAAAGGCAGCCATCAAATTGATAAAAACGGATTGTTAAATTTTTTCAGATTTCTTTTTAAATGTGTTTGTATTATTCCATTAACATCTCATGTTGTGATATATATTCGTATTGTATCGACTAATACTTTTAAATAATTTCTAAGTCGGCATTTCTGAAGAAAAAAAATATAACTTATCAAAATGATTATCTTATAATCTTTCGATTGTTCTAGTTTAAAATTTAATTACAGTCTATATGCCTTTAAACATTCTGCTAAAATATTGACAAAAAAAAAACATAATAAGAATGTAAAGAAATAAAAATTTAATTACAGTCTATATGCCTTTAAACATTCTCCTGAAATATTGACAAAAAAAAACATAATAAGAATGTAAAGAAATAAAAGTTTAATTACAGTCTATATGCCTTTAAACATTCTCCTGAAATATTGAAAAAAAAACATAATAAGAATGTAAAGAAATAAAAGTTTAATTGCAGTCTATATGCACTAAAAAAATATTCTCCTAAAATATCGATAAAAAAACATAATAAAAATGTAAAGAAATAAAAATTTAATTGCAGTCTATATACACTTTAAACATTCTTTTAAAATATTGACAAAAAACATAATAAGAATGTATCGGTATAAAAATTTGATTGTGTGAATGTGAACAAATGTAATCATGTTTTTCATAAGTGCTTCAAACTTTTCCAATTTAAAAGGGCTTTTTAAAGATTATACTCCTTTAAACATAGGCTTGTAGAAACAAGCTTGTTGCAAATTTGAAATGCATATGTTTAAGGCTACGAAAATGTATAATTGGGGAGATAAAGCCAAAGATGTTGGGACACTTTGAGTACGAGGCTTTATAAACATTTTATGAATAACTTTGAATGTTGTCTAGGGTTCAGTACAACCCCCCCCCAGCATATCCTGGTTTTCAAGTACCCCAGCGGGGATAGGGTTAAGTTTAAACAGAAATGGTGCTTGTAATAATGTAATTACTAAATCTGTATGATTTTCATTAATGAATTTAATTTTAATTTAATTCAACATTGTTGCAAGTCTAACGTAAACAGAAAGTGAAGTTCAAAATAAATAAACTCTGCAAAAATATATCTGAGCTTTAACAAAGAACCCTGAAAGCTGGGGGAGTGAGGTTCCGTAAATATACTGCCTCCCTAGGTAAGGCCTTGGAGTAAATGTATGTTCATAGCCCAATTTTTCAATGCCAGCTTATTAAACTAGCTAACTTTTATGGCTAGGGACTAGGGAGGATAAAAAAAATCGTCATAACCAAATTAAAAGATTTCCAAATGGTATCATTACTCTTTAAAATCTCTTAAAAATTGACAGAGTTAGCGGAGAATGGTTAAAAAAGGCCAAAAATTGAGGGAAAAAAACTGAAATAGCTGGGCCATTTAAGAAAATTATTTTTAAATGCTAAAATTTCGTATTTGAACTAGTTTCACCCTAACGCTTTCTAAAATATGTTTCGCATATCTGGGAATTTTTTTCATGGGCACCCTATAAAAATTGTGATTAAACTAAAATTGCAGATTTATTATCGATTTGTATTTATTTAGCTATTTACTGAATTTAAATTTAAACTAAGGTGTTACAGTTATGATCAAAAACAAAAATTTCCTATATTAACACTTATAATTAGCTGAAGTGCCCAGCGTTGCCCGTGAAATTAATAAAAAGTAAAAGAAAAATTTGATTTTGACGAAGAAAAAAACGATTTTTTAGCCTCACTCCCAGGACATCCATGAGTTTCCTCAAATGTTCAACCCATCGGTCCACCCGTTTGACCAGCAGCTGACATATGCACATATATATTTACATGTTCGAAGAGCTTTATTATATAGATTAAAAGAGAGAGAGTAAAGTCGACATTATATTTTTAAAATATTTTGTTAGAGATATTCATAATTATATTTTGAAAATAGGGTTCTTGTAAAGCTATAATAAGATTAGGATTTAAACGAGAGTAAATTAAATTTCAGTGAAAGAGGTTTTTTCTCAGAAATCTGAATTAGTCAATTAACCAACCATTATCACACCGTATTCCACCAGCCAAAAACAGACGTCCTCTTTCTGATATAAAAAAGGCATTTTAACTTCCTTGCGGAATTGATTTATTTCTCTGTACGGAAGTTCACCGTATGTTTACTTTCTTATAACAAGGAAGGATTAGTTCAGTTCTAAGGCAGTAGTGCCATTTAACAGTATATCATGAACGTACTCTCCGATTTTGGCCGGCGGAAATACGAACATCGCAGTCAGATTTGTCCATGACTTGACTTTTTGCGAAAAGAATCATAGGATTTTTATCAGAAATTTAAAAATAGCCTAATTCCCTTGAAATAGGTTAAGAATCAAATTTTTGCTAAATTACAATCATAAAATAAGATTGTTTTGATTTCCCTCTGTAGATGCATTATGACAGAATTTAAAGAAATGCGGGAAATTAAAAATACAAAATAAAACAACAAAAAGAAAATTACCGACTCGAAGAGAAAAGGAACAAACTAAAAATTTAAGCAAAACTAAACAGGATAAAAGACACAAAAATAGAAAAATAATTAAGTTAAGAAGATTTAAAAAAAAATAGTGATTATTTTCTTTACAAATATTTGCGTCACTGTTTCTTGATCCATCTTTATCTGTATCTGATCATTATATATATAATGTGTATGATATTGTCGTTTTTCTAGAATTAAAGGTGTTTAATTGTGATAATCCTGATGTAGGAATATGCAAGTCACTTTTAAAGAGAAATGCCAATTGAAAATAGTCAGTTATTCATACTTAATCAGCCAAAGGTTTTTATAGTACCCTTGTGAATCGTGTTTTATAGTACCCTTGTGAATCGTGTTTTAAGTACCCTTGTGAATCGTGTTTTATAGTACCCTTGTTAATCGTGTTTTATAGTACCCTTGTGAATCGTGTTTTATAGTACCCTTGTGAATCGTGTTTTATAGTACCCTTGTTAATCGTGTTTTGTCATATTTGCATGGAGAGTTGCCTAAAATTACGCTTACAATCCTTTTAAACGTAATTTAAAATATAGTTATTTACTTTAGGTACTTTACTAGATTGACAACCCAGCGTTGCCCAGGGTATTCATAGTTACTACCGCCGTTTACCCGCGCTTGGTCGTTCATTACGATTTTGTCAATTTTTTCCAATACAAGTAGACCCATTCAAATTAGAATATTTAAACCACGATAAGAACAATCATTTCAGGTTCTCCTATAAAATTTGAGGCAAATTGGTCAAGGAGTTCATGAGTTATGATTGGACATACAAATAATCAGACAAACAGAAAAAAAGTACTTTAAATGTATAGATGCAGAAGTTTTATTTGTCTATAGGACTGACAAATGGCTTATGACTCATCATGAGTCATTGTTTTCTGGTAAATATGCCCGAATTCCCGGATTCTCATAATAATTCAACCAAAACTATAACAGAAATTCAATTCCAGGAAATATATAATGTGCTAGAGGATGAATCATTGGATGAACTAGAAAATGTGTTGGTGGATGAATCATTGGATGAACTAGAAAATGTGCTAGAGGATGAATCATTGGATGAACTAGATAATGTGCTAGTGGATGAATCATTGGATGAACTAGAAAATGTGTTGGTGGATGAATCATTGGATGAATTAGATAATGTGCTAGAGGATGAATCATTTGATAAACTAGAAAATGTGCTGGTGGATGAATTATTGGATGCTTTAGAAAATGGGTGGTTCATTAATCATTGGATGAACTAGAAAATGGGTGGTTGATTAATCATTAGATGTCTAATTAAATAAAAAAAAAAACACAATTGATCTAAATTAAAAAAATATTTAAAAGTTTTTTTTCAAAAATCTAATGAAATAAATATTTTAGCAGCATTTTTGAATAAAGATTTTTAGCCATTTTTCCCTGTAAATGTTGCCTTAATCATTTTAGAATCTCAAAGCTTAACACATTCCCGTGGTTCTCCCGAGTTCCTCAATCAAAATTTGAGGCAAATTGGTCAAGGGGTTCATTCTTGTTATGATAAGACATACTGTAGTAAATGCTCTACTCCATAAACGATTCTCGAACCCGTATCTATCCTGGTACAATCCAGGTTCACTTAGCTATCAATGCTTAACCCGGACACAATCTCATCAGTTATCAAGGTCCACAAGGACACGAGCTTGTAAATGTCTCTCCACGGACACAAGCACTAAAATGAATCAATGCCAAACCAAAGGGCACGACCAGCTATCAATGTCAACACTGACACAAGCACTAAAATGAATCAGTGCCAAACCAATGGGCACGATCAGCTATCAATGTCAACACGGACACAAGCACTAAAATGAATCAGTGCCAAACCAATGGGCACGATCAGCTATCAATGTCAACACGGACACAAGCACTAAAATGAATCAGTGCCAAACCAATGGGCACGATCAGCTATCAATGTCAACACTGACACAAGCACTAAAATGAATCAATGCCAAACCAATGGGCACAATCTTCAACTTATTCGTTTAGAACAAGGACACTACTACTTTCTCGCAGCAATCAAAGGTGGGTCTAAATATCATCTGAGTATATTTCTTCATGTTAGATTAGAACTAGGTCCTAACTGAGTAATCACAAGTTATTCGCTATTATATATAACGTAGTTAAGCAATCACAATATGGGTATGATAGCTTTATGTATATCTATACTAGTGGGCACATTTAGTTATATGGACAATAGGGGAGATTGATTTGTGACTTTTTTAGAAATCAGCTAACCGCCCACTTGAGGTAGCTGCGTTTTTACTATATAAAAAATATTGTAATAAAAAAAAAAATTAAAAATCGTCCATAGGGTTGCGAATTGACGATTTATTATTGGAGAAATCGCCGTCAGGCCTAAAAAAAATATTTTTTTAGAAATAAATATGATACATATAATTTTCTTGAAGTTTTCATGCTGAATTCAGATTCGAAAACCATTTTTTAAAATACTAAAATCTAAATAGTTATGGCCAAAGAAGGATACTAAATTCAATTTTCAATTTTCAATTTTTTAAAATTTGAATTCGGCATTAAATTTCCAAGAAAATGATGTATAACATGGAAATAAAAAATAAATTTTTTTTTGTGGCCTTACGGTGAATTCTCCGATATTAAATCGTCAAATCGCAACCTTCTGGACGATTTTGAAAATTTTTTTTAATTGCAATATTTTTCTTAGGTGAAAACCCAGCGACCTCTGGTGGGCGGTTGACTCAATTACAATATTGATCACCCTTAATGGACAATGTACAACGTAATTTATCTAGGTTTACAATGGGGCCTCTGTATTTATTACAATACAAATAATTAACAAAAATCACAACTTTATATACAGATATATAGATGTATGTATTTATCTGTTAAACGTACTATTTAAATTTGTGTTTAAATGAAAAGTTAAATAACGTTTTTTATTCTAGATTTAATTACAAATACAGGGTGTTCAAATAAAAATGGATGAAACTTGAAAATTGAAATATGATTTTGAGATTCACCGACAAAGGGTCAAACGACCCAGGGTCAAACGACAAAGGGTCAAACGACACAGGGTCAAAAGACACAGGGTCAAAAGACACAGGGTCAAAGACACAGGGTCAAACGACAAGGGGTCAAAAACGCGACAAAGGGTCAAACGACACAGGGTCAAACGACAAAGAGTCAAAAAATGCGACAAAAGGGCAATTTTTTTTTAAATTTTGACGGTTAGTATTTTTTATTATTATTTAAGGTTAGGACACCCTCTGTAGTAAACCATATTGGGACACCATGCAGTAAACTATATTGGGACACCTTGTAGTAAACCATATTGGGACACCCTCTGTAGTAAACCATATTGGGACACCCTGTAGTAAACCATATTGGGACACCCTGTAGTAAGCCATGTTGGAATAAAATATGATTAAAGTTTTCAGTATTTTCGATTCAAATTTTTAATATTTGTTTATTTCATCAAATTTAATTTTCCTCTTCTCTTTTAAGTACGCTTCTACATGTTAAAGAACTGTAAAGGTTTCACCTGTCGTTGTAAGTGTAAAGTGACCTTTTCTTTCAAAAAAAATTGCTTTATGCTTGATTCACAACGGTACCCTTGAAAACCTTATTTTGATTAATGGTGTCGAAAAATAATCTTCGGGCATAAAAAGTAATTAATGCTGATAATATTTTCTTTGTTTCTTAAGCAAAAAAAGCGAAGTCACTTTTGTAAAAAATACAAATATTGAAGTAGAAAGTTTTCAAAAGTTACTTAAAATTGCTCTCTTACAGAAGGGTTATTAATGGATTGGATACAGAATCAAGAAATCACATAATTAACAGAGCTCATTATTTTGAATCGTTATTAAACTAAAACCTCAAATTATTGCCGTTTGTCCAAAGCTGAAAACTTTAGAATAGTGGATATCGAGATAAATACTTGATCTCCTCTTTTTCTTAATCTCCAGATTAAATAATGCTTGTTCTACTCGTGTTATTAATCTCCAGATTAATTAACCGTTTCTAAAGTTTTCCGCTCAGAGAACATTTACAAGGTTTAATTTTATATTTACTTGAAGATACTGTTTAAGTAATTTCAAATAATCCTCCGTTTACAGGGGTTCATATGTCAAACATTACCTTTTGAACCTTTATATGATAACCAATCTTTTTTTCTAAATTGTTAGATGATTTAAAGGGACAAACCGGCTATGTAAAGTAGTTAAACTGAGTATGCTATGTTGTGGACAAATTCTTTAGGATTCATTTATATTTGAGAGATATAAAACTTTTTAAAGATCTGTAAATCCTGAGTTTGAGCGCAAAGTCGACGCTCAAAATCGTACTTTTGGGTGGATACGTTTTCAGAATTGTTTTTTTAATTATAAAATAACGGCGTCAAAAATTCTAAACACAATTCTTCAATAAACTAATCAGTTGTTTAGGAACAGGTTGAACAAATAAAAGTTATCTCTTATCATCGTAAATAAGTAATCTTATTCAATTATTAGTTTCTATAATTTCTCTTTAATCACAAAGATTTTCTGTAGATGTTCTGGAATTTTTATTAAAAAGACAACATTTGAAGAATTTGAAGAAATCTGCGAACAAATTCATAGAAAATAAGAAATTCAATATAATGATGAAAAAGGAAATAATTAATTCTAACTTCCATTTGAATGACAAAGGAATTGAGTCTTTGTCACAATCTTTGATTTTCTAATCCTTATATCTTTGCAACCCAAAGTCGTAAACCTTAGATATTTAAAACTATGATTGTTTTTAGACAAAACAATCTTAGTATGAAATATCAAAGGTTTACATCATCAGGTTGCTAAGATATTGGCATTCGAAAATTTGAGTCTGTGGCAAAGACTCAATTCCTTTCTTTTGACAAATATGTTTCTAAACATCATATTAGTTTAATATTGAATTTTTACAATATTTTTTTGTCGTCGTTATTTATTAACTAAAAAACGAGTCTGAAAACGTAAATTCATGATTTTGAACGTCGACTTTGCGCTCAAACTCTGTAATAATACATCGTGGAAAAGTTTTATATCTTTAAGATGAATCCTGAAGAATTTGTCCACAACACTGCATACTCAATTTTACTACCTTACATAGCCGGTCTGTCCCTTTAAGTCTTCTACAGCTAGTGTCCCAATAAACATGGGAAGTAAGTGACGACTTTTATATCCTCTTAATATCTAATATCTTCATAAATTTTTACAACACGAGAAAGGTATACCACTTAATGAAAATCTCGTAAGACGTACAGCCTCATTTTTATACTTTCTTTGCCATGCATTCAAAATCAGAAATCAAAGACGACTCTCAAGTCGTTTCTCAATTCCTATGTGTTTTAGGACACCCTGTACGTCTCTGCCTTATAATAAGTAAAATTAAAATAATTATTTTTCAAAATGAAAATCCTTAATTTCTGGTAATTCAAAGGTAAAAGGGTTGTAATAAATATCACCGAGTCATATATCAGGGAAATCTGATACCCTATCTATATTCCTGCTAATAACTATTTAATGTTAACGTTTTCATTTTTTTAAATGATCGTTTCGTTATGAAAACGATGACAAAAAATCGAAAACGTTTTAAAAATGATCTTTTTTTATCGTTTAAAAACGATCGGTTTTTTTAATAAAATTCGTCCTTTCGTTAACGATCGTTAATTCTAAGGTTAAAGCTGTGTGGACCTGTGCCCTTTTTAATGAAATTAAGTCGCCTTTTTTTTTTAGGAAACGAGATGCACTTGTATTGGTGTGTTTTGTTCAACCAGAAATAAAAACATTTGTCAAATGAAAAAAAAACAAAAAATGTTTTGGATTTAACTTGGTTGGTAAGATTTGGTTGGATGATTTTAGATTCATGTTTACTCAGTTCAGGAATCTACTCATATTTCCTCCTGTTGAATGTTCTTATTTCAAATAGATATCTCTACTGTTGAATGTTCTTATTTATGGTAGATTTTCTACTGTAGAGTGTTTTCATTGCAGGTAGATTTCTCTACTGTGGAGTGTTCTTATTTCAGGTAGATCTCTATACTGTGTAAGTGTTCAGATCTGGTTTTAAATCTGAATCTAAATCAGTCTGGAGAAACCAGTGAAACCATTAACAGGTTGTAAATTATAAATTCTGCGTGGTCAAGGAGGGATGGGGGGGGGGTGGAGTGTGAGGACCATGGATGAATTGGGGTAGGCTTCAAGTGGAATGTGATATGGAAGGGGGGGGGGGTATGTGTCTTATTTGAAATTGATGACTCTAAGGTTTTAGTGTAGCACATGATAAATAAATACACCCCAGTTTTAACCAGAATTACGTTTACCATAATTACACTTACCATGATAGAAATTGTCAAAATTCCATAAAACATTATTTCCTTTAAGTTCCCCTTTTATCCTTGTACAGAGTTTACTTTTGTCATATTTTGTCAATAATGTTAAATGTGTGTACTAATTCTGGAAATTGTAACCAATATCTTTTGTTCTTGTTAATTAGACTATATTGTAATGAACTTATATGCTAACCCTGGGAAAATGTGATTTTTTTTTCAAAACTTACCAACACACAGCAAAATTGTTAAATTAAACTTATAAAAAAACATACTAAATTTTTTTTGCTGAAAATCAACAATCACTTTGGGAGGTCGATTTTTCAATTTTTTCGAAAAATGTCGATATAGGTAATTAAAGTTTCTCTTCGAACCATAGAATATTGCCCAAATGTTAGGTTTTTGAAATTGTGATAAATGGTTGATCTAGGGCCACAAATATTTATATTTTTGTAGGACTCGGGCAAATTTTCCCTAAAAAGTTGGTTTTTGCATATAGATTATTCAATTTTTTACCGATTTTTATGAATTCAACATTTTTAAATTCAGTGTTTCAAGACGGATTTTTTGGTACCCATATCGAGATATTTTGAAAAAAATATATATATTTTTACTTGCACTATCAGTGACTTAATATTTACAAAAACGTGATGGGTTGGATAAATTTAAAAGTAGGAAACAAAAACTTTACAATTTTGTTTTGATTTTTTGGCTTGGTGCTGAAAGTATTTTAACATTTATCAAAAAAGTGCCAAATTGTTCCACCCTTACTTATACATGAAATGAAAATTCAGAATACAGAACATTTAAAGGGACTGTGAGCGAAATTTGATGTTATCCTCCGGACACAATTGACAATGTCCTTAAAAGCTGTGTCTGATAAAGTATATATATCATTATTTGTAATTTAGAAAACAGATTAATTTAAATATGATTTCTCTACGAAAGTGTCTTGCTCCGTGAACGTTTCTATTATTGCAGGAAAACTTATAGGAAATGTCAGAATTAAACACTTTTAAACATGAAAAAACGACAGTATATTGATTAGATTAAGCTGTCAAAAGGGTACGGTTAAGAATCGAACATTCTCTTTTGCATACTTAAAATCCCGCTTACATTCTCAACATTTTAGGAATCAATAAGTGTATTTTGTGAATTTGCCTCAATATGAAACTTTATATTATACTAGTAGAAGTGCCCTGGGTTGCCCGAGGAATTTTAAAAACAAATGAATCAAAATTTTCGAATAAAAAAATAGAAATTTTTAAAAAATCGATTTTTTAATATTTTTTTCGCTTTTTGAAAAATAAATTGATCTTTTAGTCCGTCCACACGTTACCCCCGGGTTTCTCAATGTCAGCCAATTTGGTCCATTCGTTTGGCCAGCTATAGCTAACCAAATATATATATACATATGTATATCTTCTTAAAAAAGTTTAGAACATGTTCTTTAAGTTAAGTTATTGCTGAACACCGTGTTTCATGTTATATATATTTATATTTAAAGAATCAGCTTCAAATTAAAACATAATGTATTCTTAAAATAAGCCTAGAACATTTTCTATTGTTTATTAAGATTGTTTATTGCTGGACACTGCAGTTTAATGTTTGTCATTCATCAGCACCATGATTGCGAAGTTTCAAAATTACGATGCATTTTAACAAAATTAAATGGGTGTAATGAATAACCAATAAGTACTATATCAGGGAAACCTGATACCTTATCTATATTCCTGCTAATAACTGTTATCATCTTTTTTTTGTATATCTTGTAACCAAATAAAGGATTAACACTATCGTTCATTAAACTAGTAATTATATACAGGGTGTCCCACATCATATTAGATCGTCATTGGATCTCAATTAGGATTGTCAGGACTATTAAGAACAGTTCAGAAGACTGAATCATTTTGAAAAGTTAAATAAGGCTAGTATTAATATTGTCTTGCAGAAAATATTAGGTTTTTTGAGTATTATGTGTTAATTTTGTCGTTAAAGCTTTGAGATAGTCTAATATTATATGAGACGCTCTGTTTATGTACTAGTTTGGTGCCCGCTACGCAGGTCACCCTATTTAACCTGTCACCTTATGTCTCAATAAATAGCTAGTAATGTGTAAAACTTTAGGCCGATTTCTTATTCATGTTACCATAGGTACAACTATAGATCGTATCTATCTATCTACACTACTCTGGTAAAGCGTAACCATAGCGTGACTATGGTTCTACCTATGGTAGAACGTCTAAAAAACCTAAGCCATTTGTAGTAGTAATATCGGGTTGAGAAGATAGAGCCGCTCGTGTTTGTTTGTAACACAAAGGTTATTCGGAGAGACTGGCGCACTAGTTTTATTACATGGGCTTAAAATACAGATACAAGGCTACAGTATCATTAAAAATATCACATTCAGTCACAATTTCACATATTTAACATAAACAAGATATACAATAGATTAATCTGAGAGATGAAAGATAGGAATTTTATTAATTCCTATCTTTTATTCAGCGGATGTTGATCTTCCGAAGTCAAGATTAAAGTTTTTTTTTCCATTGCACAAAGATTTCATTTCTGTGAACAAGGATTATATGATGCACTTGCAACTATAGACCTTTTAATATCAACATTTTTGTTAATGCTCTTCAGCTCCCAAATATGCTGTGTAAGGTCTGTGCTTTATATATATATATATATATACATATATGTATATATATATAAAGAAGCAAAAAGTTTTATTATATAATAATACTTTAAGTACTTTCTTTATATTTTGAGTAGACATATATACACATACTAGCTGAGAAGGGCCCGGCGTTGCCCATGGAAAAAAAAATGTTGAAAAAAATTATTTTCGATTTTTTTAGCCTATAACACCTCCCGGCACCCATAAGTGTCAACAAAAAAAATCAGCCCATTCGGTCCAGCCGTTTGGCCGGCTATATACGAATGTCTTGGTTTATTATATAGATATAAAGCAGCGAAGAGTTTTATTATATAAAATACTATAGGATGTACTTTATTTATATTTTGAGTGAACATATATGTATACATATATATAAAGGAACTAAGAGTTTTATTTTATAAAAATACTATAGGATGTACTTTATTTATATTTTCAGTAAACATATATGTATATATATATAAAGGAACTAAGAGTTTTATTATATAAAATACTATAGGATGTACTTTATCTATATTTTGAGTGAACATATATGTATACATATATATAAAGGAGCTAAGAGTTTAATTATATAAAATACTATAGGATGTACTTTCTTTATATTTTCAGTAAACATATATGTATACATATATATAAAGGAGCTAAGAGTTTTATTATATAAAAATACTATAGGATGTACTTTCTTTATATTTTCAGTAAACATATATGTATACATATATATAAAGGAGCTAAGAGTTTTATTATATAAAATACTATAGGATGTACTTTCTTTATATTTTCAGTAAACATATATGTATACATATATAAAAGAGCTAAGAGTTTTATTATACAAAAATACTATAGGATGTACTTTATTTATATTTTGAGTGAACATATATGTATATATATATAAAGCAGCGAAAAGTTTTATTATATAAAATACTATAGGATGTACTTTCTTTATATTTTGAGTGAACATATATGTATACATATATATAAAGGAGCAAAGAGTTTTATTATATAAAAGTACTATAGGATGTACTTTCTTTATATTTTCAGTAAACATATATGTATATTGTATACATATATATAAAGGAGCTAAGAGTTTTATTATATAAAAGTACTATAGGATGTACTTTATTTATATTTTGAGTGAACATATATGTATACATATAAAAAGGAACTAAGAGTTTTATTTTATAAAAATACTATAGGATGTACTTTATTTATATTTTGAGTAAACATATATGTATACATATATATAAAGGAGCTAAGAGTTTTATTATATAAAAATACTATAGGATGGGCAAAGTTCATCTATTTTCCTTCCTGCTTCTGCCAGCAGTTTTCTCTCATGAGATATACCCGGGGAAATGCCCTGACTTCACTCCAATGAAACAGTTTGATTGGACTAAGGTAATAATCATTAATTTCGGTAATTTTTTCAGAGGCCGAATTTAAAGAATTTGAGCCGCGGTTTAAATTTAAGTCGCGGCTTAAATATGATTGGTTCCACTTAAATTTGTATTGATTTTTTCAAGCTTTAAGTCGGCGGTCAATTAAAACTGGTGTTGTATGAGGGATTTGAGATGTGGCCTAAATTCATTAAATTCGGCCACAGAATACATTTTTTAGAGGAGTTTACTTTGCAGCCCAACTCTTTGCGGCCCAATGTTGTATGTCCGCAATTATTTTAAGCTTTGAATTTTGGTAGATCAAATAGTCTAATTTTGAAATATCAAAGGTTTACAACATCAGGTTGCAAAACTATTAGGATTAGAAAAGCTTATGGCAAAATATCTATTTCTTTGAGAATTTTTTAGATTTTAGATTTTGTTCTTTATTTAATCAGCGGATTGGGGTATGTCATTGAAACAAAAGTATAATTTTTTTTATTTTCTTGTTTTAGTTTTCCAGCGGAGTATGGTATGTGATTCAGAAGTTTGATACAAAGAGTTCTTGTCTTACTTACGAGTTTAAAACTGATAATCTAGGGTTTAAATCTGTAGAACAGGTATGATGATGTCTAATTCATATATAAAACCCAAATTAAGGCCNGGTGACGTCTCATTTTTAACACATTATCAGGTTTAAACTTCTCGACTTGTTATTCTAAAGATAATAAAAACTAAATTTGACTTGGGCAAAAAATACCTATAAATTCTATCTATTCAATCTATTTAATTGTTAAATTGATTAATTATTACGTTTACAAGTTAACCATTCAATTATACAATTGATTTAATCATTTTAGTTTACAAGTTAACTATTCAATTATACAATTGATTCATAAATTTATTATTTCTGAGTTTTTTTATAAAGTGCCCTATACATGTATATATCAGTATATTTCATATATAAAGTTTTTAGGTTCTATAACTGAATATATTTAGATCAGACAGCTACCCTTTAAAGAGGCTATTGGAGTAGATCATCAATATAAGTAAGTTCTTTCTTACAATTATGCATGATGATGTACATAACTTGTCTGAGAGAAAGATTAGAAAACATTTAATATTATATAACTATAAGAAAACAGAAAAGATCCTATAAACATGATTATGTACATAACTTGTTTGAGAGAAAAATGAGGAAACATTTAATATTATAAAACTCTATAACAAAACAGAAAAGATCCTAACATGATGATGTACATAACTTGTTTGAGTGGAAGATTAGGAAACATTTAATATAATAAAACTCTATACCAAAACAGAAAAGATCCTAACATGATTATGTACATAACTTGTTTGAGAGGAAAATTAGGAAACATTAAATATTATATAACTATAACAAAACAGAAAAGATCCTAATATGCTTATGTACATGACTTGTTTGAGAGAAAAATTAGGAAACATTTAATATTATATAACTATAACAAAACAGAAAAGATCCTAACATGCCTATGTACATAACTTGTTTGAGAGAAAAATTAGGAACATTTAATATTTAATGTTATATAAATATAACAAAACAGAAAGGATCCTAACATGATGATGTACATAACTTGTTGGAGAGGAAAATTAGGAAACATTTATTGTTATATAACTATAACAAAACAGAAAAAAAAGAAAAACAAAGTAAAATCGAAGTAATGCAAAGTGTGCACGCTCTCATGCAAAAAAATCTATCAGCATTTTGCCAAATACACCTTTTAAACTAATGCTATAAACATCTGCGATGTAGTTTTAAAGACTGCAATTAAAGCTTTAGTGAATTTAGTGACTTTTTTCCAAAACTTAAGTTTTACGACACTAAAAGCCGACGAAAATAGAATAAAATATATTAAAATAAAATAGAATAGAATTGAATCGAATATACCTGGATAGAACTTGATAAAATGAAAGAGAATAAAATAAAAAAATTTGAATGCATGTTCTAATTTAGCACTGAAATTAAATCTCTTTGAAATTGTTTTTGTAATTTTGTCCTGCATAATTTAACCCCCTAGGGCATCTAAGCATGCACCACACTATCATACTTTTAGTCAAATTTTTAAAAGAAAAAAAATTAAATAATAGAATCATCTTTCTTAATTCATGTAAAAAAATATATTTTAATTTAACATATTGCAATAAACTTTAATATATGAACAATCAAACACTAGGTTAAACTTGTTATCGTTAAAATTAACACCTTATACTTAATTAAACAAATATCAATTACAATGAACTATAATACCCATATAAAAGAGTGCCTAAATCATATGGAACGTTAACAAATTAATAACCAAAGACTAAGCTCAATTTATTTAACAGATATTGTTGAAAATTAACTATTTAGGTATACTGGTAAACTATTTGACAGATATTGTTGAAAATTAACTATTTAGGTATACTGGTAAACTATTTGCTCCACAGGAATCTGAGCCTGCAAAGATGGTTGCTAGATTTCCACTAAGTAAGCATAACATTAAATATCTATTAAATTAATGTGCTCTTTTTTAGCTCCTATCTTTATGGTATTATGACGGAATGTATATTTATACACCATCATGTATGCTAAAGTACTAAATGAATCGGATTTTTGGCAGAAAGTTTAACAAAAATTATATTTTTTTTCAATTCAAAAATATATTTTATGATCTTTCCCTCTAGATTCCTTTTTTACCGGAAAGCTATAGTTATGATTAAAGATAACATCATTGTAAAATAACAAGCGCAATTAAAGAAGTTTCAATTTGGCACACAGTGTCAAAAGTTGTTTTTAAATCACTCTCCAAAAGTATAGTGTTGTGTTAGGATGCAAAGTATCAAATGATCGATTATTCAATGGGAAGAACGGTGTGAAATTGTGTGTGCCAAATCCAGTGCTCCTAAATACGTTTTGATACGAATTCAGATCCTGGATCACTAAAAAATGGACCCAGATAAACAGAAAATTATTCTAAAATTGTCTTCTTCTTTCACAAATGTCCACCATGTTAGATTTGACATTCAAAAATCAGGAAGGTTTTATTGATCTCTCATTAAAGATTTAGTTTTGAAATCAAATTTTTTTAATCGGTATTTAACAAAAAAAGTATTTGTATTTTGCCATGTACACGGGTAAAATAAATCACAACAAAAATAAAGAAATAGATTAAAAACGACCCATGCAAAACATCTTTAATTGTCTTGAAATAACCAAAATTCTAAAAATTATTATCTTTAAAGATGCTATTGGTTCCGCTAGCTATGTTGTGACTGATACAGATTATGATAATTATGGAATGCTCTGTACATGTCAGGTTAGTGTAATACACTTTCATTTTATACTGTACATGTCAGGTTAGTGCAGTACACTTTCGTTTTATACTGTATGTGAGGCAAATGTCAGGTTAGTCTTACATTTTATACTGAACATGTCTGGTTAGTCTTACATTTTATACTGAACTTGTCAGGTTATTCCTACATTTTATATTGAACATGTCAGGTTAGTCTTACATTTTATACTGAACATGTCAGGTTAGTCTTACATTTTATACTGAACATGTCAGGTTAGTCTTACATTTTATACTGAACATGTCAGGTTAGTCTTACATTTTATACTGAACATGTCAGGTTAGTCTTACATTTTATACTGAACATGTCAGGTTAGTCTTACATTTTATACTGAACATGTCAGGTTAGTCTTACATTTTATACTGAACATGTCNCAATACAAGACAATTTTATTTAATTATTTAAAGAAAAAATATTTATTACTAATTTTTATTTTCAGCCCCCTTGAATAACTTCCTAGTTGGGCCTCTGCCCGTATTTTTTGCATTTATTTATTAGATCACGAATAGTTTTCAGTTATTATAGGTTTTTTTAAAAAAAAAGGCAAAAAATGTCGATGCTAAAAGTGGAAAAACAGGTTTGAAAATGAGAGTTTGACAGGTTCACTATTGGACGTATAGTAAATAGTTTAACTAAAAACTGTTTATTCCAATTCAACAAAACTTTTAGTGAATCTTTTTTAGATTTCAGAATAGGCATTTCACGCACATTTTTGGTCAAAAAGACCAAGAGGCAACGAGTAATTGAAGCAGCTCTCCTTTCTTATCTCAAATCCGCGCCCTCACACCTCTAATACTAACTTCAACGAAGTAATTAACAGTTATGGTTTCCTCTCTAATTCTTTTTCTAAAATTGCGTAGAAGATTTATATATTTTAACAAATTGAATACCTAAAAATTAACTATAAAGTATCCTAATTTGCCTTGCCCTCCCCCCTACAATGTACTTCCGGTATCTCCTCCACCCTCCAGTGTACATCCGGTATCTCCTCCCCCCTCCAGTGTACATCCGGTATCTCCTTCCCCTCTCCAATGTACATCGGGTACCTCCCCCCTCCAATGTACATCCGGTATCTCCCTTCCCCCTCCAATGTACATCTGGTATCTCCTTCCCCTCTCCAGTGTACATCCGGTATCTCCTTCCCCTCTCCAATGTACATCGGGTACCTCCCCCCTCCAATGTACATCCGGTATCTCCTTCCCCTCTCCAATGTACATCGGGTACCTCCCCCCTCCAATGTACATCCGGTATCTCCTCAAGAAATGTTTCTTTGTGTTTTGTTTCTCTTTCTTTTTGGCAACTGCAATTTTTCTAGAATTTTCTTTGTTCTAAAATTAGTTTTTTACGTTCACTAAACCAGAACTTGCTTTAGTAATTTAGACCTGTTTCAGCCTACAGATTTTTTTTATATATATTTGTACAGGGTGTTTTATAAAAATGTTCCGTTGGAAATTTACAATTTTTGGATATTTTGAAATTATAATTTCCAATAGAATCATATCATTTAAAGATTTCTTTGGGTAAAATTATTTTATAACAAGCAGTTTTGTCTTGGTTCAGTTCACAAATGTCATTTCTTTTTATTTTTCGATTTTGATTTTAGGAAACATTAAAAATGCAAATATAAATAAAAATTCGAAAAAAGCTAGTTATTAGTTAAACTTCTGGATTAATTCTGTTACTTTCTTTAACAAAAATGTAAATGACCGGAGTCCGATTTTAATGAAATTGAGCCGAGTCTCAAATCCACCAAAAACCGGTTTCAATTGAGCGTCCGGCTTAAATCTTGAAACATTGAATACAATTTAAAGTGGAACCAACCATATTTGAGCCGCGGCTCAAATTCCTTAAATTCGGCCTCAGTAGAAAAAATTCCAAACGTGCCCAGGTCTTGCCATGCATTTCCAACATTTTCAGCAAATTCAATGAAACAAATATGAAAAAAAAACAAGATTTTTTTCAAAAATTGTCTTAACATTTTTTTTATTATCATATCAAGTCCGCTTATTTGTAATCTGAACTATTTCAATATGTTAAAAGCTGTGAATTTGAATAAATAGATAAACCTGTGAATGTGAATACATAGATAAAGTTTTGTGAATATCAATAAAAACAAACAAATATGGCAAAACTTCAAGCTGTCAGAACTGTTCTTTATACCAGCAAAAAGTTTCCATCAATCGAAATTGATATCGGACCATAATGATGAATTTGATCCTTGTGCTGAAAAAAAAAACAAGTTTTTGGGGTTACACAACGAAGAATCAAAACTAAGAAAACAAGAAAAAATAACAAAAAATTATTTTTAAAAAAACTCTTTTTCAGTTGATGGATTCTGTAGAGTCTAAGTACGCACATGATTTTGATAAAATTGATCAGACCAATTGTGATTATGGGAAGGAGAAGGTAAGAAAAAAATTCTTCAATCGCTTCAACCACAGACTGCTCATACACTCTACCTGGATAGCCTGAGCAGGCCTATAGTGTACCGGCACGCCATGCTACGGTTCCATGTAATGTTTTTGACTGACATCTCACGCCCTTGTTGCATTCAGGGATTAAGTTTTACAACTTTTAAATAAAATACTCCAAATTTAAACATAAATCATAACGTTTATGAATATTGTCTATTTTTAAAGATTTTTCTTTTCTTATTCAAAGGATTCTTAAATATCCCTGAATACAGATGTCTCCTGATTGGTCGTGTACAGTACTAGTACACAATAGAACATGCTGTGGAAAATATCGCATATTATAGGTGTTAATCGATCTCTGTAACGCTCGAATCTTATATTTTTTGTTAACTTGCAATAGTACATGTATACACTATACGGTCCCATTTCAAGAAATAATTTTCAAGCTATTGGTGAAACTATTTTTACATTAAAAACATATATAGGAATTTAGGAATCGAGTCTTTTTTTCACAAATTCTGATTTTCTAATCCCTTTATCTTTGCAACACAATTTCGTAGACCTAAAATATTTTAAACTATGAATTCTGTTAGCTGTTAGATTAAATAGTCTAAGTTTTAAATATCAAAGTTTTACAACATCAAGTTACAAAGATATAAGGATTAGAAAATTGCTTTGCAGAAATTTTGGTTTTCCTTTTCTACAGTTTTATGAGTCTCACTGTATTTTGTTCCTATTTCAGGCTTGGAATATAGATGTTGACAAGGTTATCGAGAAGATAAGTGGAGGTGGAACAGATGAAGATTCGGTAATTTATTCTTAAAATAATTATAATTCTAAAAATAAATATTTTGAATTTTTTTTTAATCAAAGCACTTTTAATTATCATATTTTTTTCTTGGTGAAATTATAAAATTTATTGATATTTAATAATATTTATAAATAGATAAATAAATAAATAAATAAACAAATTGAATCTTTGGCACAAACTAAACTTTTCTGATCCCAAGTTAGCTTTGCAACCTGATGGTGTAAACTTTGTGTGAAATCTTTCAAACTAAGATTATCTGATCTAACAGATTTCATAGTTTGAAATATCTAAGGTCTACGACATTGGGTTCCAAAGATATCAACATTAGAAAACTAGAGTTTTTGTTAAAAACTCAATTCCTTTATAAATATAAATAATATTTAGTAATCAGTGCAATTGGGAGAAAATTGGTTGAACTATAGAAATAAAGGATAATATAGAAAACTGCAATTAAAGAAATACAAAGTAGAAATGTAAAATCATTGAAAAGGAATAAATTCCGCTTATCAAATAAAAAGATTTTTTTATAAAGATGGTTTCAAGAAAGTGGTCCTCCATACATGGGCATGGGCAATGCCCGATTTCCAACCTTACCTTTTAATTTTGATTTCTGTGAGTTTTTCCCTCCATTGCTTTATATAAGCAATAATGCGCAAGTCAATTTTGCAAAAAACCCGCAAATGAAAATAAACAATTTGTAGAAACAAAAACATTGATATATAATTCATACTTGATTAAACACACGCAAATCTGCCCCTTTGGAAAAAGTAAATTCAACCTATGTGAAGCATAAAAGCCTGACCGCGTCAACCTTGTTGCACCGGCTAGTCCTGTCCATAGAGATAGGTACAGAACAAACTGGGACCGGAAAGGTTGACACGGCTCGGAAATTCAAATGTACTGCGGCTCCCCGTGAACAAGGCTTTCAAGGGTACCGTTGTAAATCGGGGATTACCATGTCTTTACATGGAGGGTCACTTCAAATCAATTTATTTATTTCAGATAACTGAGTTCACCAGTGAAACTGATACTATTGATCAACTAGTGGAGAAAGCTAAAGAATCCAACATTATCTAATAATTTGAACAATTATCAAAATTATTTTGATATTTACAAAATATTATTCTAACATTTATATCATTATATCGTTAATCTGCTTAGTGACATTTCATCAGAAATGAAAATAAAAATTTTTTTGTACTTATGGATTTAATGTTTAGAAAAATCAAAAAAAATCAATTAAATTTTTCCTTAAATAAACCTGATAAAAGATTCATCAGTGGTAAATTTGAAAGATAAAAATGTTGCTGATAAAATAAGTATTATAAAATATGGATTTGGTGAATTATTATGACGCACTTTAAGCCTAAAGGGTCTGTCAGAAATTATTTTTTGCATATTTTTTCAACCGCTATATACATCTTATTCTTAACTTTTTCAACCGCTATAGACATCTCATTCTTAACTTTTTTTTCTGATAAAGTTTAAAACTTTCTTAAACTGGGTTACTTTTGTATAAACTCAGGAATATATTCGCACTTATCTCACCCATTTCTGTGAGGCTCTGACCCTCAAGTAAAAGTAAATTCAACCTAAAGTCTGACCGCGTCAACCTTGTTGGTCCGACAAGTCCTATTGAGTGTCTGCTTCATTTACCCACTGACCGGTCGATACAATACAAACTGGGACCGGAAAAGTTGACCCGGCTCGGAAATTCAAATGTACTACGGCTGCATGTGATCTTCGAAAGAACTTTAAATATTTTATCTACCTGCGGCATTTTCTCTTCTTAAATAAACATTAACAAAAAAATGTGGGTTTATCGATTTTTTTTTGTTTAGGCAATTTTTAAAAATTCTGTCCATCCATAAACCTTCCCTTGGATCATGTCAGGTTTCCCTAAATATTCCGAATATCCATAAATGAATATGCCGAATATCCATAAATAAATATGCCGAGTATCCATAAATAAATATGCCGAATATCCATAAATACTTAATTTTCAAAATACGAAATTTATTCGGTTTTTAATTAATACGTACTGCAGCATCTCCGTGAGTATAATTCTCACATTTCATATGCAAATTACTAACAAAAGAAAATTCTCTGAATTTAACTGAATATTAACTAAAAGTTCACAATGATAGGAACCTGGAACATTAAAAATGACAATTTAAACTAGCAGCAATGAAATATCGTGAAGGGAATATATGGAATTCAGATAGTTATAAAAACAATTATGAAGACGACATTTAAAATTTTCGCGTTTTCCCAATCTTCTCCGCGGCCAAGCAACAGACTAAAAATGTTTGACTAGAGCATTTGGAATACTGCAAAGGAGCTACAGGGTGTCCCACGAAACATGACAGTTGGTGAATATTTTTCATTGTCTTCTTCCACATACTGTATTAGATTTTAAAGACTTTTTGCAGTCTATTTCTTTAAAAAAATGTTTGACTCTATTTTACTATGAAATCAATTTTACTATAGTATAACTGTCACATAAAAAATGTTATAAGTCTCTTTATATAGTATCAAACAACTTATCAAATCATGGAAGAAGACATTTTAAACTATTCACCAATCACAAGTCATCTTTCGTAAGACACCTTGTATATATATATAATACTTCTCGAAAAGATGAGTGTCGTCTTCTTTATTTCTTTAATGAAATCTCTTTGGGATTTTGTAATTCAACCACAACTGTATTTATGCTGTAGTGTACAGCAATTTCATGGCTGATAAAAAGTCAGCCCCATACTGTGAAATGAACAGGAGTTTGCAGTGCATATGTATTCTACAGGGTGTCCCACATCATGTTAGACCGTCAATGAGTCTAAATTGCGATTTTCGGGACTAATCAGAAAATTTAATCAGAATGAATCATTTTGAAAAATAAAATAAGGCTTTTATGAAAATTTTCTTACTGAAAAGCTGAGTTTTTTTTGTGAATTATGCGTTTATGTTGACGTTAAAAATTAGAGATAATCTAAAATGATATGGGACGCTCTATATAATCTATATAATAAAACAAGACATTCGTATATATAAATGTATAGCCGGTCAAACGGCTGGACTGATTGGGCTGAAATTTTTTGTGGACACTCATGGGTGGTCTTGGGGTGTCATAGGCTAAACAAATTCGAAATTTTTTGTTTAAGCAACGCCGGGCCCTTCAGCTAGTTTTAAATAAAGTAATAACCTGAAAACAATGAAATAAGAAGACGACATTATAGCTACACTTAGTGTATTTGATGTTGTTAGAAAGCAATAAGTTTTACTAGACACTTATTAAATCACTGATTTTTAAGTGATTTAGTTTCATCTGCACAGTTGCTGTGTCTCATGGTAAAACATTATTGGGTGAAACATGATTGGGTGAACTGTTACTACACCGTGTAAAGTTCATGGTTAGACATTGCAATAGAGAGAAGGTTGATGAATTTGATGAATATTCTTTGTCTGAAGCTGTGGTTGTGTTCTCATTATAGGCAATATAGATTTTAGCCCAGGGGGACTGTATAGCTACGGTAAAAAGAAACAAAGTATTACTATAAATGTAAATAAAGATGTTTTTATAATAAAATCAGATGGGAATATGGTCACAATCAATGAATTTCCAATTACTGTTGACCAGTGGAATAAAGGGCTTTAAGGAGAAGTTATAGTTCTAGAAGGGCATGACAAGATTGCTACCTTGGCTTCTGATGGAGAGAGTGTCTTGTTTAATGGCAAATCAATGATGGATGGACATGAGATTTTGTATGGAAATGAGAAAGGATAAACATGTGCATTATTCTCTTCATCTTCAATATCGTCATTGTCAACATCTTCTTCTTCTATGTCAGGGAGATAAGGTTCTGAATCATAAAAAGGTAAAGCTCTTCTATCATCACTCAATCTGTACTCATCTGAACTCAAACTAAAAAACATAATGTTCAAACAATAACAATTTTAAATAATCTTTTCTACGTTGAACCAATTGTATTTGCACTTGTCCTGCATGACTGATTTATAACATTAGGAACAATGGTATTCCAAAAAATGCACTATAAGAGAATTGATAAAATCGTAAAAATGTAGTCCTAGAGATGAAAAACCTGCATCACGGTAATGATACAGAAAAATAGTTATTTACTTTACATTCAAGAAAATAAGGTTTAAAACAGCAGGCTATCCTTATGATACGATTTCATATTTTTATTCAACTACAATACAAAGCACGAGATAATACAAATAAAAAAACACAATTTACTATGTAGTTTGGACCCGCCTAACCAGAGTAGGTTGTTTTAATTGGTTGGCCCAATATAAACGAATGAGAATTGCAAATAAAAACAATGTTCATTGTACATTTTAAACATAAGAATGATGATAAATCAGGAAAAAGGTAAGGAGAAGGTGAGGGAGTATAAGGGAAAGACTAAGTTTATCCACATGATACACAGTTTTTTTTTACAGATATAACTTGCATAACTATCTAAATAGATCTTGGCGACTTTTCTTTAAGACGATTTTGCAGATTTAGTTTCTTACAGCTCTAAATCAATCGACCTCCATATTTTTGGAAATAAAGCAGAGGGATTGGTTTGAAACCTGTCGTGCCAGCATCATGTTATTAATGTTAAAGCCGTTAAAAACAAAGCATCTAGCGCAGTGTTTGCATATATTATCCAATGTAAGAAATCTACTTCCAAGTAACATTAAGCATACTATGTATAACTCATTATTTCGCTCATTCGTAGAATATAGAATTTCAGCCTGGGGGAAAAATAAAAGTACCGAAATGAAAAAAATTAGCTTGCTTCTAAAAAGTGCAATCAGAATTATTGAAAATGCAAAAACAGCTTCACATACTGATCCTCTTTTCTTTGAGCTTAAAATCCTTAAGCTAATTGATTTGACTAAATTTAATCAAGCAACATTTATGTATAAATACATGAAAAACCTTCTGCCCTCCTCATTTAACAACACTTTTGAAAACCTCGGAAATTTTTAAAGATCTCTTAACTATCAAATAGACATTTTAAATACAGGCTCATCAGAATATCTTCCCTCATATGCACTTCTTAAGAGATGGAATAAACTGCCACTTGATTTAAAAAGAAGTGCCTCGTTAGGTATCTTTAAAAAAAGTTTATTTAAAATGTTATCTGACGCCTATATCTCAAAGTGCAATAATTATTCTTGCAAAAAATGAATATAGAACTTTGTAGATTTTTGAACATGCTTAATCTTATTCTGTTGAACGTACTAAACTTAAAACTGAAAATCAATTATTTTGTTATGCTGCACCTCGGTCTATCTAAATTTAACTAGTAATCCCTGACTTATTGTAAGCTTTCAAAACGTAGTAATATTCATGAAATTTTAAACGTTTTACTATTAATTAGGTGGGGATAATACCCAAAACAGCAAATAGCTAATCTCCACCCAATTGCTAGAATTACATAAATTTAGTAAAATTAGTTGCAGATTTTTTGCCTGTAACATTATAACTTGTATGTGTATTTTTAGCAATAAACTATATCTTATATATCTTATCTTATCTAATGTTTTCACAAAAAATGAATACTTTAGATCATCATCTGTAATCACTTTACTCTGATATCCCAATGGTATAAAGTTTATCCATAATATTTTTGAATCATACTTTGTGCCATGCATCCTTGTACAGCAATTTTACAACAAAATTCAGTTCAGTGACATTCATAAATTAAATTAGTGATGTGTAGAATGTTTTTTAAATTGATGGTGCAGTTCTCTTTTTTTCAATATTAGTTTTTATTAGGGGTTAAAGTGTATATACTTAATAGGTACTGAATAATGATTATTGGATGTTTACATATTGGGTTCATAAGTAAACACGACCACTTTCCCTCCATACTTGCTACTGAACACACCTGAAAATGGATTCAGCTCAAATTTTAAATATCTTTATAAAGGCTGGAGTCCTTCCTGTTGCAAATAACAAACATGGTCAAGCAAGAATGGATCTTTCCAACAAGATGTTTCTTTTCCTAAATTTGTTTCGCATTTTTCCCCTTAGTGGCTATCTATATTTTAGCATGATCAATCTGATGGATGATCTTAATCTAAAAACTGTAGTTTCATTCTTGTTCCGATCTGTTGGATTTGTATCAGGACCTGTGCTAACCCTGATGCTTTCATACACTGCACAAAGCCTTGGAGTTTACACACTGACTGGAACAAGCAAGATGAGTAGAATTAATTATCTTATCCCTATTGTGTATCCTATAATTTACAGTTCTGGGATAGCAGTTATGGAAATTCCAGATGGAATGCATTTGAATACTTTATTGGAGACTATTTGCTTTTCAGTTTCTCTAATTATTGTACTACTTTATCTTATACTTGATTACGGAATACTATTTGTCTCATGTTTCTTGTGGGTAAATGATTTACGGGTAAAAATTGCCGCTCTGCTCTTCAAGAAGAATATTACGATCGAAGAATGTGAAGAAATATTGCTTCATTATAATACACTGAGATCTGCAATAGAATTAACTGTTCTGGCACTATTTTCTGTAACTCAGTTTTACTCAATTACAGCTGCATACCTAGGATTTAGTGGTAAGTACTGATTTTGTCTGTCATATTATAGGGACTGAGCTGAAAACTTTAGAATGAGATATCCTTAATCCTGATCGCTTAATCTGAATATCCAATATACACACTTTTGATTTTATTTTTAATTTTTGGATATCCCCAGAGTATAAAAGTTACAATTACAGATACAATGCTATATCGATTGAACTAATATACAATTGAATTAAAGTCAGCTGTTCACAAGCCGGCTTTTAGAGCATTTAAGCAAATATTAAATTAATCATGTTAATATGAACCTATTAATAAAAATATTTTATCACATTTTAGGACTATCATCATTTTAAACATTAATCCAAAACTTACATTTATTTTATCGATGTTTAACTCAATTGATATTACATAATTAACACCTGAAAGTTAAAGTGTACATCTTAACATGATACGCTGATTTGTTGAATTTTATACTTCTTTCTTGGATATCGAATGTGTATTAAAGTAATATCCGGTTTAGTAAAACCAGGAGTTTAAGCATTAATCTTGATATCCATCATTCTAAAGTTTTCAGCTCTGAATGCTTAATTTCATGTGAACCTCCATGGAAAGATGACAATACCTGATTCACAATGGTAACCTTTAAAACCTTTGACTAATCAAGGTTTTCAGACTTATTCTCATTATTCTGCACAAATACTTTTAGTTGTTCAACTTTTTGTTTGCAAGCTGTTTTATGTTTTGAAAATATTAATATGCATTTCTCAGAATTGGCAGAAAACTAATATTAAATCAACTTTTAGTCAAAATATTCCATAAAGTGAATAGACACAAAAATAGGTTCAGCCAAGGAGAATTGAATACAAGGAGGGGGCAATAGGGTTTCCGTACAATTTGCTGTGACGTTTTCGGACTGCTGGAGAACTAGTTTTGCGGAACAACAATAATAAAGGCAGTCGATCTAATGTAAACAAACATGAGTTAGTATAAGGTGAATCTTCATCTAACGCCAGAGATGCGCCAGATCTCTGTTTATCATTTGTGTTATTGTTTACAATCTTTATTATTGTTGTTACGCAAAAAGCAGTTCTTCAGCAGTCCAAATACGTCACAGCAAAGTGTACGGAAACCCTTATGTCCCCTCCTTAAGTTGTATTCAATTCTCCTTGGGTTCAGCTGAGTTGAGTTCACTCTGTACACAGGGTACAATCCAAGCGATTTTTGATAGATTTAAGATTTCTGAAATTGATTTTTAGTCAAAGGTTTAAAGGGTGCTGTTGTAAATTGATCATTGCCCTATTTGCATTGAGGGTCACTTAAAAATGGCTCAGAGTAATATTTTAAGAAAATCATTATTACTGAGTTCAACACATAACATTGAATATAATTGAGTAGGTGATCTCTTCAATCTTGCCAGTTTTATACCAGCTCTAATAGTTACCTTGGTTTTACTAACCGGCATAAACGTTATTGAAGAGCTTTACAATATGACGGACCAACTTATGGAGAAAACCAAAGAGGAAGGCCTTGAAAAGGCTTCCTTCAGGGAGATGTTGAGGTAGAAGCTTTACATAGTTTTTTACAAGAAGTATCTCTGATAGGAGGGATTTCTTATGGCACCATTCTTTTATCTGTTTGTTAGACTCTAATCCAATCAAAGTCCAAAGTTAATAAATTTGAGCTGTGTCTAAATACCGTCAAAAACCGGTTTCAATTTAGGGTCGGCTTAAGTTATATGACATTGAATATAATTGGAACCAATTTAAACCAGGTCTGAAATTTAAGCCGCAGCTCAAATTCTTTGAATTCGGCCTCTTGGCTCACTTTTTTGCTTGGTGGCTATTTAGAACTAGTAGTGATTTCAACGGTGTTAGGATCAATCTATCTATTCAAATTTCATAATCCAATGATGGATCTGCATGTAAAATAGATGGTAAACATTAACCAGGATTATCAACCTACTTTGAAACAAGAGTGTTGCGAGTAGATTTACTTACACTAATACGATTTTAGCCCTAGCAGACGTTATATGCAAAAAACGACAAAAAAACGACTGAAAAAACGATTTTGTTTTAAGAATCGTTTTTTGGAACGTGTTTGGATTTTTATTTTTCATGTTATGTTTAATAAAATAAAAAATTTAGCATAATTCAGTTCTGAAATCTTTGAAGTTTCATTAAATTTTTCTACAAACCATCCAAAATGAGTAACAACACTAACTGCATGTATAAAAAAGTCTCCTTCATGATGTCACTTAAGTCTTATAACTTTTCAGATACAAGAATACAGCTAGCAAGCTTCGTAGAGTTGGACCCTTTACTGGCATGGGCTTCTTCACACTGGATAGGAATACACTTTCAATTATGCTGTCCATTACAGTAACATATATTGTTGTTCTCTTACAGTCAAGTTAGGTGGACAAAATGGACAGGCCATTAGAAACCCCCCTCTTTTTAAACTAATAATTGTTTAATAAATGCTTCTTTTGAGGACTTTTCTGCTCCAAAGTTGCCAACAGAAATTTACCCAATCTAATTAGAAGTTTCGGCTTTATATTTTAAAATGCTTTGTTTAACAGACTGTAAATTTAATCTCATGTTAGATTCACAAAAGTACCATTTAAACTCTATGTCTAATCATGAATTAATTAAAAATTAATGTATTTGTTTTTGATAACTGTTTAATTTTGTTGTTGTTTCTTTGAAAAAGTGGCGTGCCTATATTTTGCTTTAGAAACAATGGAGAAAGTGTCAGAGCTAAACACTTTTCAACTGAGAAAAACAACGTTTTCTTCCACATAGGTTTCAAGGGTACTGTTGTGAATATTTAGGTGGAGGATCGCTTAGAATATCAATTAACCAGTCCCTTTCAGAAGTCATTCTTTAAGAAACTTAAAAAAATGTCCTAAATTATCACCAAAACTCTGTTAACATTTGTAATTGCAAAACGTATTGACGATAAAGAAAAATTTTTCAACTTTATTAATATATTCTGGATAATGTTTAAAGAAACTGATGTGAATCAATGATGGCACATTTGAATTAGGGTCAGTTTATTTTTTTCCTGTCAGATAAAGATTTATTTTATCTATGAAAATGGTGAAAAATTCTTAAGATTTTTTTGTGGAAACTATTAACAGCCTAGCTCACATCCTAGCTTGCATTTCCTGGTTTATATTAATCATTTATTTTTCTTGGAAAACTATTAATACGCTTCTTTATTTACTTTACTTAGAGGGGTTCTACTTCTGGGACTATATATTTGGTAACCAAACACCTGCATCAAACGGTTAACTTATATTACTTGAGCAAATATTTGATTCACAAAACACATTCATTTATAATTGTATTTAAAGAATAAATTAATAAATGCTTATATACGCTGGGAACTTTTTGTAAAGGACTGTTTTTTTCATCATACTTTGCTTGTCTGTCTGTTTGTATTCAATATGGAAGTCAATAAGACCGAACTGATTGGGCCCAAATTTGGTGTGGGACCTGACATGACCCCAGGACGTTCAATGGTTGATCAAGATTAAAAAATGTGCCTCCTAAAGATATCGATTTTCATGAAATTCTGAAAAAAAAACAATATCTGCGATATGGAAAGTGTCCTGAAAGCCAAGAAATATATACACTTGCATTTTTGCAAATTTTAGATATAGGCGGAACATTTTTGCAAATTTTAGATAAGGCGGAACATTTTTGCAAATTTTAGATATAGGCGGAACATTTTTGCAAATTTTAGATACAGGCGGAACATTTTTGCAAATTTTAGATATAGGCGGAACATTTTTGCAAATTTTAGATATAGGCGGAACATTTTTGCAAATCCTAAATCGGACATAAAATACTTTATTTTTTTTAAAAAGGATAACAAGAATATTATGTAGTTTTAAGCTTTTTGGGGAATTTTATGGCCGTGAGTGCATTCTGACAAAAATAGCATGATTGAAAAATTGGTGAATTTGTCTTGAAAATTTAGAACAACTGCATTACTGCTTTATATGTTCTTTCGAACACCTTTCTATCTTCTTGCCAAAATTATTTAAAGCATGGGGTCAGTCAGAATCAAAAAAGTGCCATTTTAAACAGAAAGAGATAACAATAAAACTTTAAGAATCAAGTTTTAACTTTCAAAAAGTCCAATGACCATGATAAACAGCAATTTTGCAGTGTAAACAAACCAGTTCACTATATAAGTGATTTCATAAGTGCCTAGTAAAGTTATTTGCTAATTTGTAACCCCATCAAATACACTTAAGTATTGCTACAATGTCGTCCTCCTATTCCATTATTTTTTGGTTATCACTGTACTAAAATTTAAATGTCCTCAACGGAAAAACTGCCTATTATAGTTTCTTACATTTTTTCATAATTTAAAGATTGTAGATTGTAGAACATTTTTACTTAACGTACATCATTCATAACTTAATTCTGGCTCAAGCATGAATAAAACCTTCAGAATTACCACAATGCAAATATATAAAATCTATAAAGTAATGCAGTAACTGAACTTTCTATATGAAGTTTTGGTGCAAGTCTAAACAACAATCTGAAAGCACATCTAAAAAATAGATTTTTTATAAATCTTAAAATTTTTCTTTAACGTTTTGCTCCATTTTCTTTCTGATTCAAATTGTAAGATAGATGAAAAGTTCAAAATTATTACATTGAATTGATGGTTTAAGTCCCGGAAGAATATTCATTATCAATAAGAATTTTTATCAACTTTGATCCGAATATTGACGTAGTTTTCTTGACTAACTGACAATGTGATTATTGAGACCCAATTTTCTTTGTACATTCAAAGTTTTTGTTCAAGGGATTTTTCATCATATGCTCAGGTCTGTATCCAAGAAAAATATATACGCTAAACATTTTATTTGATAAATCATGGAGAATGCTAATATTTAAAGCATGGTTTTGTTATTTTTTTTCCTTTATCTTTAGAGATATTTTTTACATACAGGGTGACCCACAAAGGATGAGAAATCTAATTCATACTTCTTCAGAAAAGGTTTTTTATCTAATAATTATCTTTTTAGTATCTATTTCATATGTTATTGTGTGTATATAACAATTAAGAACTGCACTATTGATTGAGATTTTACTTATTTTACATATTTGGCGCTCACTAAATAACGTGAAAAGGGTTCCAAAGTACCTAACCTATATTTTAGTTTTGCGATACAAGATAAAAAAGGTTTATATCATTACACATGGTCATGTATACATGGCGCCTGGAAACTTCCCCTAGCCTTCTAGCTGCCGCGGAGGATTCATAGTCTAAGACAACTTTCATAGCCGCCACAGTAGTCCCCCCAGAAGGAACGGCGGAGGAATGGCGGAGCAGATCCTTCTATCTCTTGAAGACCTGTAAGGATTCCTTTGTGCAGGTACAGGTGGCAGAAGAACTTGGGGAATGAGCTTGAACCTAACTTTCTCGGGTAATTTCGTGGCGGAGAAAGGTGGAGGATTTGAAGAACTAGTACTGGACTACATCTGGGTCTTCCTCGAGGCGGAGGAAGCGCGGGAGTAACAGGAGCATCACTGAACACAGGTTTCAGGCGATCTACGGAGACTACATCCTGCTTGGAACCAATCAGGAGGCGGAAGTATTTGCTCTGTCTATCTATTACCAGGTAAGGGCCTCAATAACGAGGTGCTAGGGACGATATAATTGCATCCTCACGAACAAACACATACTTTGCTGTCAAGAAAGCTGAAAGGAGTTGAACCAGAGAAACAGGACGAACATGATGAGGCGCAGAAAAGGCGAAACCATCAATAGCTCTGTTAACTTTCCTAAGGAAGGCATCAGGAAGTAGCTCAGGAACATCGACAAGTTCTTCAGGTAAGGTTAATGGAGAATCGTAAACAGCCTCGGAGACTGAGAGGCCAGTATCATCCTTCGGAGTAGCTCTTAAACCCAAGAGAACTAGAGAAAGATGAGAAAACCCATCTGAACCTTCTAACCTGGCCCAGAGAGAAGACTTTAAACTCCTATGGAACCTTTCAACCATTCCATTACTTTGAGGATGGAAGGAGGTTGTAGTGGAGGCTGAAATTCCCAAAACAGAGCAAACTCCAGTCCACATAGAAGACATGAACTGGGAACCTCTGTCTGACGTGAAAACTGCAGGAACTCCGAACCTTGATGCCCAGGCTGAGATGAAAGCATGAACACATGACTCAGCAGAGATGGAGGACATAGGAACGACCTCCGGCCATCTCGTGGTTCTGTCAATCGTGGTGAGAAGATAAGAGTAGGCTTGACTAGAGGGCAGAGGACCAACAAGATCCACATGAACGTAAGAAAATCTCCGGGTTGGAACTGGAATAGAGGGCACTGTAGAATGAACATGAGTTGAGATCTTGGATTTTTGGCACGGGATACAGGATTTTGCTCACAAACCGACATCTCTGGACATTCCTGGCCAAACAAATCTTGATGAAATCAATCTCCTGGAGGCTCTGACACACCAGGGTGAGAAACACTCTGTTGTTGCTCCAACAGCTTGTGACGAAGTTGAAGAGGAACCAGAGGAACCGGTTGATGTATCACAAAGAATTTTTGGATCCCATGGGATGAGCAATCACTGAATGAGATGGATTTGTCTTCATCTCTTGCACGGATGAGCAGGTAGTTTGAATTTTAGATAAGCTTGAAGCATCCAAACCCTGCAAAACTGGTTCACTTAAAAGATCTCTGGCGGAGCTGGGACTAAGGCGGATGTAGAATCTGTTTTCTCACTAAGAAGAAATTGATTACTGGAATGAGCCCTGCACCTAGCTAGGAACAAGGCAGGAGAAGAATCCGACACCTCCGACACAACGGACACCATCGACACCTTCGACGCCTCCAACACCGTAGAACTAGGAACTGGAATGGCGTGAAGCTGAACAGGCTTGGAAGAGAGTTGGGATGGTTTCAAATCAGAGTTCTAAGCGGAGCAAGGTTTAATTGGACCTGGAGAAACTAAGGATGGGTTAGGCTTAGGATTCAGAGTGGAGACTGGTGAAACGGGGCAACATAGGGTGTCAGCTTGAACATTCTCCTTGCCAGAAACATGAACAATGGAACGTGTAAACTCTGCCAGGTGTGCAAGGTGTCTCTGCTGGCAAGCTGACCAAGGAGGACTTGTTCTGAACAAATCATATCATTACACATGGTTATGTATACGTGGCGCCTGGAAACTCCCCATAGCCTTCTAGCTGCCTTGGAGGATTCATAGTCTAAGACGACTTTTATAGCCGCCACACATAAGCTATATTTAAAACTGTAGAGTAGCCTCGTAGATAGAGTCTGCTGTTGACAGCATTTCAAGATTGCATGCCTTTTTCACGTCATTACAATGTAAATTGCAGAAATTGAAGTTTATTTGAAGTGCTATGACAGGAGAATAGATGATTATTGTCAAATATATGTTAATAAGTGATTGTGAGAATAAATACCCCTATTCAAGAATCATAGCAATGTTTGTGTATATAGAATCTAAAAATAAAAGGAACGCTAACTCACAGTTCCATTAGCTAGCATCAAACATGATGCTAGAGATAGTGTGGCTTTGGTTGAAAGACCTGAGAAAAGGGGAATCCAAAATGCGTCAAGGCTTCGTGAGTTAGTTCTGCATGAGATCTATCTCCGACTAGGCATGGGTGATCAGTTCATTGTTTGCCGTAGAGGCGGATATTCGTTTATATGTTCTCAATATTTAATAATTTGTATTGTTTCATTAATGTTTTATGTGTAAATAAAAGTTGTATGTGCAATATGCGAGCTCTTTGTTACAGTTGAGGGTTAATTTCAATCAAGTTTATAGTGCCAGACAAGGTACTATAATGCAAGAAAAGTTATTTCAAATGTGTACACATTTTTTTTACTGCAGTGTTCTGTCTTTGGGCGGAAAAGTAAACATAAGACAGATGTCACTGTTTGACACAGAATCAATTTTCACAAAAATAATCTATGAAATATTCTGGTCATAGGAAACTATTATGTGAATTTTCACAATTATCAAAATTAAATGCTTGTATCTTCCTCGGATACTAAATGAACACAGATGCGTCTATTCTTGTTTACAAATTCCGCCCAGAGAGAACTGGTTTCAATATGTACGCAGAGTATACGCGACCGCAATTAACTTTCCTTGCATTAGCACCTTGGTACCAGCCTGCTATAGCAAACTGTATGCAGTAAACTTTCTTTGTCATAAGAAGACTTCCGTTAGCTATAAAAACATTCATCAATTACTTCACTTATTCATTTTATATATCAGGTTTCGGTACTTAAATGTAAACATACATTTTCCACACCACCCTCTGCAAACATTTATGTACATTATAGTATACTTAGGTCATAAAGAATATCAATTCTCGGTATAAAGGGAGTAGAAACCCTCCAATACAAACTAGATTGAAGGATCCAAGGTAAAATATATCCGACATCACTAGTACAACTTTGTGACCTTGTAGCTCCTTTAATTTTAATCTTATGTACAATTCTGAGAAAATTACATTGATTTGGAATTACATATTAGAAATTCAAAACATTTTGTTTATCTCAAAAACTCCTTATTTACTGGACTTACGATTGAAAACATATAAGATTTCAATCTCATGTGAAATTCACTTTAGTTTGACGTGCCTCCATTGATAGCATCTTTTGAAGGTATTTACTGTTGTGAACCATACCCCATAATCTACTCTATTGTAAGGAGATCTTCATTAGGTTCACAACTTGAGAGGTTCCCTGTAGCGTACTACCCGATGAACCCTGATGCCGCTCCATTCTACCCGAACTGTAACTCCATCATCCAACCCAGCCCACTCCATCTTCATTCCATCAATCCCATCTCCCTCCTCTCCCCCGCCTACTTTGAGGAGCCATCTATCTCGATGTTGAAGATACCTGAGGCACCTGCAACCCGAGACTCTGGTGCTCCTGCCACTACCCTGCATATTGGTGATCCTCCTCTGCTTGCTGTTCCTGCTGTACAACATATGGATGGAAGAGATCTACAACAGTTTGTCCCTGAGCACGGGGGATGTGAATCCCCGTGTCCGGACTTGGACGAGGATGAATCTCCCGTAGATACGGATGAGACTAGCCTCAGCTCTGAGGATGAATATGAACCGTTCTCTCATCCTCTTCAGAGTGTGGAGACTGTATGCGACATGACGAGGTCCCAGGACCTATAAATTTTTTGTGGGACATCACGTGACCGGAGGGAAGGTTTATGAATGATAAAAATTAAAAGAAATGTGTTTTAAAGGTTTTTAATTTTGTAAAAAATTTAAATTCTTGAAAATCCGCAAAAAATTTTTCTTCTTCGTTTTAAAATGTAAACAAAAAGAACATGTTCACAATTTAAATAGAAGATGGGCACAAAGCGCCTTAAAAGCCTAGTTATACAAAAATTCTGAATATTTTTTATCCCTGCATCCCTCCGCCTCGTTTACTACGTTTCACTCTGTGCTCCTGGGCCCATACTAACACACTCCTCTTTGCACCCCCACTGGGGAAAATCCTGGTTACGGGCCTGATCTCAATTAAATTTCAAGTTTTGAAAAAAAAGAATTTATTTCCTGATTATACCAAAAACAAGTTAAAGATTTTGATAAAACATTATAATTTATGTCAATAATTCTATCCAATTAACAAGAAGCAAAATGTGCTGGCATAAATAATGCAGTTTTACACATAAATAAACACAACTACAAAGACGACCTCCAAATATCTAGAAACTATTGCCAAGGTTAAATTTGGTCTTTTATATTAAACAAAATGTTATATTTAACATGAGAAATAAATTCATCAATAGATATAAGATGTCGTCTCTGAAATTAAATTCTTTATGGGTGGTAAACATAAATGCTAAATATCAATGTCGTCTTCCAACTCTGTTTAAGGTGCAACTGCTGTAGCGTAGGAGAAACAGATCATGTCAGTATCAATGGTTGTTACAGTTCCTAAAAAAATCAAAGGGACTGTATCTTCATGTGACCCTCAATGCACAGATGGTAATGTCTGATTCACAATGGCATCTTTAAAACCCTTTTCTACTGTAGGAAAACATATAGGAATAATCAGAATTAAACACTTGTAAACCTAGAAAAACAACAATGTCCTATCACAATCCACATCATTGAGTAGATAAAGGTTTTAAAGGCACCGCTATTGCCAACTTTGCGAGTCATTATTCATTAATAATTATTAAATTAATAAACAATTACCTCCGGGTTTGCCAAGAAGCGGACAGCCACCATTATCCACGGTAGTCTCAGTGGGAATCAGTCTAGAAATAAGTCAATGGGAATCAGTCTAGAAATAAGTCAATAGGATCGAATCAGTCTAGAAATAAGTCAATGAGAATCAGTCTAGATATAAATCAATAGGAATCAGTCTAGAAATAAGTAAATAAGAATCAGTTTAGAAATAAGTCAATATAAATCAATCTATAGATATACATCAATGGGAATCAGTCTAGAAATAAGTCAATGAGAATCAATCTAGATAAATCAATATGGATCAGTCTAGAAGTAAGTCAATAGGAATCAGTCTAGAAGTAAGTCAATGGGAATCAGTCTAGAAGTAAGTCAATGGGAATCAGTCAAGAAATAAGTCAATGGGAATCAGTCTAGAAATAAATCAATGAGAATCAGTCTAGAAATAAATCAATGAGAATCAGTCTAGAAATAAGTCAATGGAATTCAGCCTAGAAATAAGTCAATGAGAATCAGTCTAGAAATAAATCAATAGGAATCAGTCTAGATATAAGTAAATGAGAATTAGTCTAGAAATAAGTCAATAGGAATCAATCTAGATAAATCAATATGGATCAGTCTAGAAGTAAGTAAATGAGAATCAGTCTAGAAATAAGTCAATAGAAATCAGTCTAGAAATAAGTCAATATAAATCAGTCTTTAGATATACATCAATATGAATCAGCCTAGAAATAAGTCAATGAGAATCAATCTAGATAAAACAATATGGATCAGTATAGAAATAAGTCAATAGGAATCAGTCTAGAAGTAAGTCAATAGGAATCAGTCTAGAAGTAAGTCAATAGGAATCAGTCTAGAAATAAGTCAATATAAATCAGTCTTTAGATATACATCAATGGGAATCAGTCTAGAAATAATTCAATGGGAATCATTCTAGAAATAAGTCAATAGGAATCTATCTTTAGATCAGTGCAATACGTTTAAAATGCCGACACTCTTTAAAATGAAAGAGCTGGATTTTTTGTAGTAAACTCATAATTTCGTTCGCTGTGAACTCGATATTTACTTTGAACACTTTAAGATTGAGGACTATTGCTTAATTACCATGCAGTATTTCAAATACAGATTATAATTGATCTACAGATTAATACAAAATCATGATTAAGCAGTGATCTTTAAAATTATTTAATGTTTATTCAAATTTTTGCAGCTATTTTTTGTAAAAATGAATTTAGCAAAAGGAACAATTTTCCAATTTAGCTAGAAACCCTATGTCCAGCCTTACCTGAAGGAAGTATTAGTTGCGGTATTCGGAAAGTTGGGAACAACGAAAGGAAATTCCATTTCAATATCTACATCCTCGTTATTGTTCATGGGGCAGCTGTTCTAAAATTAAAAAAAAAAGATTATTTTTCAATCTTTTTAAAAGTTTAAAAATTACCTTAGAGGATTCTGTAATCCACTGACAACCATCTGCGTCCTGTTACACACACACACACAGTTACAATTTTAAGATTAAAAAGTTTGCAAAAATATCAAATATCAGGGCTGTTTTGTGCAAAAATATCAGGGCTGTTTTGTGCAAATTTGTCTCTACAAAATCTCTTCTCTTTATGAACTAATGGACTAATTCGACTAACAGGAAAGTTCTTTTATTTCAGGATACTAGATACTAGATACTAGATACTAGGATACTAGATACTAGATACTAGATACTAGATACTAGATACTAGATACTAGATACTAGATACTAGATACTAGATACTAGATACTAGATACTAGATACTAGATATTAGATACTAAATACTAGATAATATTCCAATTTTTGAGATTACTAAAACAGCCAACTCAAACTCAGAGTTTACAGATTCTTTGAAGACCAGAATTATCAAAACTAAATTTCCGTCGTCGTTTTTATTTTTCACAAATATTTATGGCTATAAAAAAAAATTTTAAAAAATTGTTTCATATTGTCCCATAAAAATATACAGGGTGTCCCAAAAAACATGGGAATTCAGTGACGAATTCGATATCGTCTTTTTAAATAATTCTTTGATTTAGTATAGTGATACCAACTGAGAAAGCTTTAATCTGTAAGAGTTTCGTCTGCTATGTTTACATTTTGTTTGTTTATGTTTTGACTGCATACGGTTGTACATAGTAAAACAAGAAAATTGCAGTATACAAACAGAGTAAACTTGTCCGTCTTCACAGTTCATCTTGCGGAGACATTATAGACACATCTTTACAGTCTTTTACCCTTTTCATAAAATAAACTCTAGCAGACATAATAATATTATGGCTTTTGAAATTAGGTATTACAATTCTAATTCATAGCAAAGACGATATACTATTCGTCACTGAATTCCCATGTTTTTTGGGACACCCTGTATATTTCTTGTATATGATGATTAAAAATGCTTTTACAGAAATATTTGAAAATTACGAAATTTTTTGGTTGAATTTTTAAAGAAAAATTAAAAAAAAATTTTGGTTGAATTTTAATGAAAAATGTGTTCCTTTAGTCCTGCCCCAAACATGGAGGGGCTGCACTCTTGTACTCCAAGCAGAGGAACTCCGAACAGAGACTTGAAACAGTTTAATCCAAGATCACAAAAAAATTAAAATTAGTTTTAAAGGGACTGTAAGCGTAATTTTAAGTGTGTCCCCATGCGAAGACAATGGCAGATATACGATGGTACCCTTAAAAACTTTGACTGATCGAGTTTGTATTAGATATCATTGTTTCAATTTCTTAATTTAAACTGTTTATTTTAGTTTCCTGTTTCTCTGCTAAAGTGACTTGCGCATTTCTTGCTTAAAGAAGCCTTGGCAAATTTTTTTAGAATTAAACACTTTTCGACTTTCCAGAGATGTTGCACAACAAAAAAAATTTTCTTTCCTTTTTAAATTCAATGATGCAAAACAAGAAAGTAGAATTAGAGATTTTTAGAAAAATAGAGATATATAAAAACAGAAGTTGATATTATATGATTATTTATACAATTTTGAGAAAAAAAAATTTTAAAACCAATATTTGAAAAAGATACTTTTCGAGTAAGATTAACAACGTAATCTTCCATATTTTTGATAAAGAGTATACAGTTCTGACTCGGGCATTGTCATTTTGCAAAGAATGTTGTCACTTGAAATCACGCTTACAGTTTTAACTTAGTTTCGGTTTAGAGTTTTAAAAACACAACTCCTACTATTCACTTCTTTATAAACTCCTACTATTCACTTCTTTATAAACTCCTACTATTCACTTCTTTATAAACTCCTACTATTCACTTCTTTATAAAACTTTGTTTTATACTTTTATTTTCACCACTAAATCAAACTTTTAGAATCCCGCTATCTTTGCAACCTGATGGTGTAAACCTTCGAAATTTCGAATATAGACTAATTGATCTAACAGAGTTTAAAGTTGGAAATGTCAAAGTTCTCCGACATCGGGCTGCAAAGATATAAGGATTAAAAATCATAATTTGAGGCAAAAACTCAGTTCCTTCATGTCCTTATACTTTCATAAAATATCGATTTTAGATCTAACAATGAACTAAAAATCTTCTTTTCAGAATAATAAAGCACTTTTTAAATCTTGAAATAGTGATAGCAAGATAAGAATGGACGACATTATAACAGTACAGTGTATTTGATGTTGTTACAAAGCAAATAGTTATTAAATCATTTATTTAATGAAATGGGTTGGTTTACACTGCACAATTTCTGTGTCTCAGGCTTATTGAACTTTTTAAAGTTATAACTTGATTCTAAAAGTCGTCTTCTTATTTCAGAATTTTCTGGTTCTCATTGTATATTATAAATTTTACCTCAAAAATTTGTTGTTCTCCGCTTGAAGCTTTGATATAATTCTCAGTAATCTTAATTCCAAAATATTTTGGCAGAGCACCGAATCCCTTTTAAATTAAAAATTATTTTTTTTCATATGAAATTTTTTGAACATCAATCGTTAAAAAAAAATAGTGAAATCACAACCAATAAAATCGGAAGAGAAATGGTTTTCATTTAATATTAAAGATTAATTTATGAAATATAGAAAAAAATTTCGTATTTTTTATTTTTATGAATAATTTATCTTTAAACTTGTTCAAGGTTAATTCTCAGAGTATAAAATGCAAAATCTAGAATGATATTTCGAATTATACAAATTACTTAAAAACCACTTTACTCCACATTACTGGTTAATAATGCCACAAAAAAATATTATTGATTTGATAAGTTTGTTTTACCTTAGGAAATCTTTCAGGGTTGAATTTAATCTTGAAGAAATATTTGTTTCCTTTGATCAAGTTAAACACTTTCCGTCCATCCACCTACAGTGAAACCCTTAATAACGAATACATCGGAAGAACTTATCAAATGTCGTCTTGACAATTTTTCAATGAGTTTTATACTATATTACGTAAATTTCAGTATTTGCAAAAATAAATAAATAGCCAAGAATATGCGGGAACAGTTTAAAGAGTTCCATATAATCATTTGATTAAAAAACTAAATATCTGCAACATTCCATTATCAGAAAGTGAAAAATACGACATTTGATGAATTCTTTCGATGTATTCGTTATTAAGGGTTTCACTGTATATTTTACAGGATCATACAGGTAGGACGGGGCGTGTTCCTCCTTTTTTGGAAATCGTTGGTCAAGAGGTAGAATTTGAAGAATTTGAGCCACTTAAAATTTGTTTCATTGTTTCAAGATTTAAGCCGGTGCTCAATTGTAACCGGTTTTCGGCGGATTTAAGACGCGGCTCAAATTCATTAAATTCGGACATGTTCCGTTCAGTTCGGTTTGTTCTCTTGAAAGAACGTTCATTCCTTGAAATTTGTTGAAATTTAAGAGAGCTTAGTTTAAAATATTTTTGAAATTTTATTTTAATGCAAAGGGTGAAGTACATGACAAGACAGTCGAAATGCCTATTGCCTAGTGCTCTTGAATAAAATAAAAAAGGCAAATACTTTTTTATAAAAAGAACTATAATTTAAATTTTTAAAAACACTTTGAAAATTGAGTTAAAAACATGTGTCTCGTCTTATTAATATTATTCTTCTAATTTTGAAAAAAATATAAAAATTAAACAAACTTCCTTGCAACCGAACCCTTGAAGCTTTGAATAATTAATCTACGCAAATATATTGCTATTCCATATCTATACTGTGAAGCCTTTTTCTATTCCACAGTTATTGATTCTGACTGTAGGCTTGTAGCTCACATGTTGTCAAAAATTTTTCAACGGAATTGAGTCTTTGCCACAAACTCTCATTTTCTAATCACTATATCTTTGGAACCAAATTTTGCAGACCTTGAATATTTCAAACTAAGAATTCTGTTAGATCAAATAATTTGAGTTTGAAATATTAAAGGTTTACAACATCGAGTTCTAAAGAAATTGAGGTTTAAATATTTGATTTCGTTCCAAAGGCTCAACTCCTTTGTAAAATCCAAGCGCTAAGGATTCATGTTCTCAAACATGAAGTGAGAGAATCCAAAACTCAAAACAATCACCTCAGTTTGCTCCATCTCTGTAGATCCATCCTGGAGATAAATACGGGCTTCCTGAACACAACAACAACAAATAGTTGATTAACAACAATAAATAGTTTATTAACAACAGTAAATAGCTGATTAACAACAGTAAATAGTTCATTTAAAACAACAAATAGTTCATTTACAACAACAAATAGTTGATGTGCACCAACAAATAGTTTATTAACAATTAGTAAATAGTTCATTTACAACAACAAATAGTTCATTAACAACAATAAATAGCTGATTAACAACAATAAATAGTTGATTTACAACAACAAATAGTTGATTTAAAACAACAAATAGTTGATTTACAACAACAAATAGTTCATTTAAAACAACAAATAGTTCATTTACAACAACAAATAGTTTATTAACAACAATAAATAGTTGATTAACAACAGTAAATAGTTCATTTAAAACAACAAATAGTTCATTTACAACAACAAATAGTTCATTTAAAACAACAAATAGTTCATTTACAACAACAAATAGTTTATTAACAACAATAAATTTGGCATTTGCCCGAATCTAGACTTATAAATATGTTTACTTTGAGTTCTGAGGAACCCCAGTTTTCCTGTCCTCTACGCCTAGCAGGCCTATCAAAACCAAAAAAAATGGGTTTTTTTGTTAAAAATTTGGAAGAAAATTTTTTTTCATCGCTCTTAAACAATTTTTATGATCAGATATTCCAAAAGATTTTTCATAATGTTCCAATCAAAAAATGTTTTAAAATAAATTTTTTTGATTTCCTGCATTCTGTTATCCCAGGGGTAACCTAAACAAACAAATTGAAAAACATGACGTAGTACCACTGTAGTTTCGATATATAAAGAATTCCATTTAGTCGTTGCCGCTAATTTACGTATGGATCTATTATAATATTTGAATATACAGATATTAGATATAAATATTGAAATTATTTTGGTTCTGAGTCCTCACCAAGCAAGTGGGTGAACCCTGATTGGATCAGGCGTTAATGGAACAGTGAAACTACAGTACAGTGTGTCGTAACTCATAAAACCCATGAAATGACTGAAAATAAAAGCAAAATTAATTTTAAAAAATTACCTTTGGCGAGCTCCGTTGATCTGCGCTTACAAGCCCTAGCACAGACAAACACACCAACTGACAGACAATACTCACTTTCATTTTTCTATAAAGCTTTGACAAATATTAGTTTTTAGAAAAAATGATAGATGTTTCTAGTTAAATCGAAAAGAGGTTGATGGTGTCTTTTTCATTTGAAAATATCACTAATAAATTATGAGTTTTCAATTATTATAAGTAAAATATTTTTACCCTTTTTCATCAGCTCTTAAATTCCAGTGTTAAAACACAAGTTTTAGATATTTATAGAAAATAGTTTTGAGATAATATAATTTTAAATTTTGGTGTTCTCGGGAGATAACTATTTTTGAATCTGGGTCGTATAGTTAAATATTTATCAGGGCGATCAATACACATTCAGGGTGCGGATACAGGGGGGGGGGGACATTCACCCCCCCCCCCATTGAATTTGGAATTTTTTGTTCCTATTTTCAGAATAGCTTCTCAATAGCATGCTTAAGGGAAAGAAACCCTAGTGCAAAACAGGAAAAATATCTGTCTTATAATAAACTATAATGTGTGAAAAGTTAAAAATCAAGGTTTTTAGTCTTTAGTCATTAATTTTGACTCTTTTTGAGTCTTTTAAGTCAAAAAAAAATTTATCCTGCGGCGCGATTTTCCAAATTATGATTTTTTATGTTCCTAAAATAACTAGCCCCCCCTTACTTAAATCCTGTATCAGCCCCTGTATAGATTACAAATTTTCCCAAAAAAAACCCAAAAAACTACAGATTTCACTGACCCAGAATACACCTTTGTATTTATGTCGTTCCTTTTTTTCTAGACTTTAATGGCCTTGATTGGTGCTTGAAACATTTAAAGAAATAAATTATTTTAAAATACAAAAATTCTTATTGACATTTAAGAACATTTTTTTCACCTAATTATAATATTTTGCAATTAATAGAAAATTGCAATTGCCATTGCGAAACTTTGAGGGAAAATATGAATATTAAAAAAAACGTTTGATATCCAATAAAAAAATCGCCAAATTTCACTGGAGTAGATTTGATACAAAACAAAACTATTTGGTTGGTTTCAGGTTAAAATTAAAATAAACATAAAAGAATTTTTTTTTAAATATTCAATTTAAAATATATACCTAAAGATATAGTAGTTGGTTTGATTGTGAGTTGTAGAATTAAAGATGGTTGACTGGCTGTCCACTGTTTATATACTCTCATGAATAAATGATTTCAAGTTGTCATAACAAACCCTCCTCGCACCACATACAGCCAGTACCAACAAACATGAAACACTAGTGCTCGGTGTTGCCCGTATAATTAAAAAAAACTTCGATTAAAAAATTCGATTTTTTAAGAAAATAAATTTCGAATTTTTTTTAGCCTATGTTAGAGTTTCCTCTAAAAATGTTAGCCCGTTTGGTTCATTTATATAGCTAACATGTATACATACAGACACACAAATATATATTTACTAGGCTTTTAGGGCGCTTCGAGCCCATGTTCTATTTCAACTTTAAATTGTGGCTTAATTTGTGAGCATCTACTCTTTGTACAGTATAAAACAAAAACAAAAAAAGTTTGCGGATTCAATAATATTTTTTCGTGCATTTTCAATTTTTTACAAATTTTTAAAATTTTGATTATTCATAAACCTTCCCTGGGGTCACGTGAGGTCCCACACAAATTTGTGGCCCGATCCGTTCAGCCGTTTTGGCGTTTATTGGATACAAACAAACGGACACCCAAGCCAAATTTATATATAGATTTGTGAGCGGGGAGTTTTTTTATCAAACATTTCTGCATTTTGTAAAATCAATATAAAATGGAATAATTATGATAACAAAGCAAACTTCTTCAAATATGTAGATTATAGATACTGTTCAATTTACTTGGAAGATTTGAGCAGGGTTTTCATGCGCAATTACTTTTATTAACTGCTGAAAAGTTTGTTTGCCTCAAATTGCAAAAACAAGCTTTCATGCTACAAAGTCTAAAGTCTAAATGAAGAAGGCAAAGTACAAATGAGAAAGACAAAGTACAAATGAGAAAGTAAAAGTCCAAAAGAAGTAAAGACAAAGTACAAATGAGTAAGAAAAGTCCAAATGAAGAAGGCAAAGTACAAATGAGAAAGAAAAGTTTAAATGAAAAGGCAAAGTTCAAATGAGAAAGACAAAGTACAAATGAGAAAGAAAAGTACAAATGAGAAAGGCAAAGTACAAATGAGAAAGAAAAAGCCAATGAGAAGTGAAGACAAAGTCCAAAAGAAGTAAAGACAAAGTCCAAAAGAAGTAAAGACAAAGTCCAAAAGGATGAAAAAGAGAAAACTAAAAAGAAGAAAAAGTCCAAAAAACATCCAAAAGACAGAGACGAAGATAAAATTGAAAAAAAGTCCAAAAGAAGAAGACAAGTCCAATGAGGAAAACAAAATCAAATAGGAAAAGAATAGGAAAAAATACTATAGCTAGGACAATAATTGATATGAATGTCAGTCTCAGAAAATTCTGAGAAGTTGGGAGTCGAATTTTTTATTTCCAAAAATGTGCTGATGCGACAGGAGGTGAAGATTTTACATAATTTTTTTTACATGAGAGTTTATTTCTTCCTGTGTTTTATCTTATTGGGTCGAATAAAGACAGTTGATAAAAAATTGTAATATTTATTTGTAATATGAATCACTAAATATAAAGAGACTAATGATGAAAAAATATTAAAATACTATGTAAATTTTCAAATAGGTTAAATATGTCTCTTTCCTCACTCCTTCTTATTTTACGCGCATACTCATTTTGAATAAAAAGTTTATTATTTTGTTTTTTTAAATTATTTTTTTGGTTATTTGTTCATCAGCAGACCCATCGATATAAAATAACAATGTATCTTATATTTATTGGGACCCTCTGCACACTTTTGGACTCGTCATTTAAACAAACAAATAGTAAACTCAAGAGTAAGCAAATAAAAAGGAATGTATTTTAAACACAAATAATTTCCAACATCCTACCTCAAAATTCACAATTCCAGACTTTTCTTGTTCTCTTCACTGTACGTTTTCATGATTCTTACTTTTAATTGTATTTTTAATACAAATAACAAGTCAGAGAAACCTGGTTTTCAAACTCATAAATGCAATATTAAAATGGCTGTAAGCGTAATTTCAAGTGACCTGTAATGCAAAGATTCACAACGGAACTCTTTTAACCCTATTCCCGCTGGGGGGGGGGGGGTCAATTTGATCCCCCCCCCCCAGTAGTTTTTTTTACATAACTCAAAAAGTATTGGTCTGAGGCTGTTGAAATTTTCTGACTTTTCTTACATACCCATAGCCCTCCCTTTAGGCCTAAAAAAGGGCTTTAATACTAACTGCATGAGTCCTCAGGCACACTGCCTGAATGACTGCTTTTTCCTGTAACAAACTAAATCTTTGTTTTGACCCACTTTTACTTGTCAGATTTTGATAAAATTTAGCTTTTTGGAAAGCCTTTGACAAAAGGAAACAAATTGCACAAGTTTTGCGAAAAAAAAATTGCAAATTTTTTGCAAACAACCTGTCAAAGGAAATTTGCACATTTTTAGTTTTTCTTGATTAAAAATCATGTTATTTAAAATTTTGCAAAAATTTTTGCATATTTGAAATGGCATGGTCAAGGGCTTTTCAAAAATGTATAATTTTTCATTTTTTTGACAAATTTTTTTTTGCACACATTTTTACTATATAACTGGATTTTGCGATAAAAAATTAAATTTTTGCAAATTTGCAAATTTTTTTGCAGATTCTAAAGCTGTATCATTTGTCATATTTGGACATCAAACATGGGATTTAGAGGGGGGGTCAAATTGACCCCCCCCCCAGCGTATCCTGGTTTTCAAGTACCCCAGCAGAGATAGGGTTAAGCCTGATCAAGTATTTAGCACATATCAATGTTTTTAATTTTGAAAACAGATTATTTTCCAGTGAGGTTTATCTACAAAATTGGCTCGCGCAATTCTACTACAGAATACAAATAGGAACTATCAGAAATCAACACTTTTAAACCTAGAAAAACGACAAAATCTTCCCAATTGCTGATCAATAAAATTTTAAAGGCACCGCTATCTTTGTCTGTAATGTCACTTGAAATTACGCGTACAATTCCTTTAAGTACATTGTATTCTATGTAGGTAGGGATGTTAACGTTTTCATTTTTTGAAAAACGATAGTTTAGTTATGAAAACGACGACAAAAAAACGAAAATTCAACGATCGTTTTATAAACGATCGTTTTTTAAAAGAGGTTGATTTCAAAACGATCGTTTTTAAAATCGATCGTTTTGCAAATTGATAATTTTTATAAAGCTCGCCATTTCGTAAACGATCTTTAACTACGTCCCTCATTTAACGATCGTTAACGACGTCCCTTCGTTAACGATCGCTAAGGACGTCCCTTCGCTAACCTCCCTGAGGGGCATCGGTACTTATCATTGAGCAGAAAATATCAAGAAGTTTTAGCTCCCCCACAACTGTTTTCCTTCAAATAAGACGACATGCGATACAGTTGCATTAAACTTTTTTTTCAAAAACGTTGGTTTTTCAAAAACGACAGTTTTTATAAAGTTTGTCGTTTCGTTAACATATTTATCAATAAAAAAATTCAAAAATGATCGTTTTTTCAAAAACGATAGATTTTTTAAAACAATCGTATAAAAAAAGATCACTGACCGTTTTCAATAACGATTGTTATTCGTTTTCTAAAAGTTCAAAACGAGTGAGACGTTTTTACAAACGATCGTTTTTTCCCAAAAATGAAACGATCGTGTTTAAAAATGATCGGTAAACGAACAAAAACGATTGTTTAACGATCGTTTTCAAAATCCATTAACAATCCTACAAGTAACCTCTTATCAGTTCATAGATGTACTTTTAACCCTATCTCCGCTGGGGTACTTGAAAACCAGGATACGCTGGGGGGGGGGGGTCAATTTGACCCCCCCTCTAAATCCCATGTTTTATGTCCAAATATAAAAAATGATACATCATTAGAAAGCTCTTGTGCTCTACTTTTAGAATCTGCAAAAAAATTTGCAAATTTGCGAAAATTGAATTTTTTATCGCAAAATCCAGTTTTATAGTAAAAATGTTTGCAAAAAAAAATTTGTCCAAAATATGACAAATTATACATTTTTGAAAAGCCCTTGACCATGCCATTTCAAATATGCAAAAATTTTTGCAAAATTTTAAATAACCTGATTTTTAATCAAGAAAAACTAAAAATGTGCAAATTTCCTTTGACAGGTTGTTTGCAAAAAATTTGCAATTTTTTTTCGCAAAACTTGTGCAATCCGTTTCCTTATGTCATAGGCTTTCCAAAAAGCTAAATTTTATCAAAATCTGACAAGTGAAAGTGGGTCAAAACAAAGATTTAGTTTGCTACAGGCAAGAGCAGTCATTCAGGCAGTGTGCCTGAGGACTCAGGCAGTTAGTATTAAAGCCCGGTTTTAGGCCTAAAGGGAGGGCTTTGGGTATGTAAGAAAAGTCAGAAAATTTCATCAGCCTCAGACCAATACTTTTTGAGTTATGTAAAAAAAACTACAGGGGGGGGGTCAAATTGACCCCCCCCCCCAGCGGGAATAGGGTTAAGGAACTTCTAAAAATTTGAATTTTGACGATTCTGACGATTTTTATATATTAATAAAAATCTATTTGAATTTTTATAACTTCCATGGTTTGACTTGGAACATTATGATGTGCAATCATGTAAAAACATGGAATTCCATTTTTAAAAAGCATATATCTATACAATACATGGATTGTCTGTCTTTGACTTTATGTACGTGAAATTGCGTCAAATCTGCAATAATGTCACACCAAAAATTTCGATTTTTGATAATTTTACAATGTGACCAATGAAACCAAAAGTTCTGTGAGCTTAAAACAAGTTAAAGTTTAAAAATGTGCATGCACACAAGTATAAGCGAATTAGTACGGTCATATCAAAAGTCAAGGCGTTGCAACTTGCAACATTTTGATGTCAACCAAGTCTTGAAAATTCTAACAGATGGGATCAAATGATAAGACTTCAGAGACGATTGTACGGAATTTTTTTAGTCTATTTTTTTTTAAGTCAGGGTTTTTGGTAGGCTCAATCTGGTAGGCTTTTATTTAGTAAATATTCAAAATACTCAATTGAATTCGGAAGCCAAAAAACAAGCTTTAAATTGTCATGTTTTTTAGAATTTTTGGGTAGTCTTTACAGTCTCAT